ACGACCCCGAAAGGACGAGATGGTTGGGCGCTCTGGCGGTACTTTACGGTACATGTAAATATGAAGGAACCACATGCGCCAGCAAGGAGATTAGTCATTACTTTACTTATGAGTGATGGATAGAAGTTTCCTTTCAGCTGACCATTACCACTCATGAAAGCAATAGTGAGTGCTGTTGTTCTGATTCACAGGTATATATTCGGCCTTAGCGCAATGTGTTTTCGAAGCTAGGCACACGATTTGCATGAGGAATCATGCAAAGATGTGGCATAAGGCCCTACAAACATGACCTAGGTAAAGGGATGCCATTATTTGCATTTGCAGTACTTTGGCATAGGATAATTTGTGGATGATTGTGTTGATCAATTTCACATAATTTCACGACAGGTCATAGTTTATTTAGTGGGGTTTGTGGGCCAAGGATCTACGACCATCTCTTTTGCATTTCGAACAAGTAGACACTTTCAACAATTCCATACAAAAATGCCTTCAGTGCAAAACATACCGTTCGGACACACCAGGCAGTCCTTTCCAGCCTTGATTTTCAAGTGCAGATGTATCCACGATGACCTTCGAGTGAACTGCGGCTTGGAACACTTTGAATACGAACCACACACTCAAACTAACTAGACCACCGCATAGCTAGTGTATTCACGGAGCCAAAGAAGTCTCCTTCTGCCCCCACAGGGTCTTGGTTAGTTCTCTAGAAGGGACGAGAGCCATACCTAAATTCAATAAATTCTCCAATTCCAAAGCCTCAAATGAAGGCGTCTTGGTGACTTCGTTTCCCGCGGTTGCAAATAAAATCAGCCCTTGAGTAGACCCAGGTGCTCGAAGTCCGTACACTTTTACAGTGTGTGTTTGCTGAGCTGAAACTCACACTAGCAATGATCACTTGCCAGAATCCTGCTCGTGGATGGAAGGTATCTTGTCCAAGTTTGTTCTGAGGCCAGGCTCGATTGAACCAGGCCATCTTTCGATCCGATCTGTTTCTCTGGAGTTCGCTGATTTTTCATATCAAATTTTGGTGTCGCAGAGGGTACTCTAAGTCCGTACTGATCAGAGGTGACTCGAAATACACACATATTTCTGCTAATTGCTAACTTGCAATCCCTCGGTTACGACGAAAGCACCGAAGGGATATGTTTGGCATGTGCCTCCACCAGTATTTCTTGCAAAAGCGTAGTTTGTTGCCGAAATGCAAGCTGTTTTTAGTCGGCTCAGAGAAGAAGCAGCTGCGCTGTGAAAACCGCGGGAAAACAGTGGTGGAGATGCCAGGAGTACCGGAGTGTCAACCTTTCTGCAAGGATTGGTGGTTCTCTGTAAATTCTTCTCCTCTGGCCATTGTCAGCTCTAAGCTGGCTCGTGATGATTGAGTGAAGGTCTGTTTGACGCTGTGTCCGTTCGAAATCGGTCTTGGCAAAGTTGATTTTTGCATGAAATGTAACCCAATTTGTATTTCGTATGGACACTCGAAAACCCACTCGCGTTTTTTTTTTTTTTTTTTTTTTTACAACTGCCAAGCCTCTTATACGGGCAAAATAAACACAATTACGAGTGCAACCTCAACAGCACCGGCAGAAAAACGAGCAAAAATGGCTGTGAAGACAGTCGAGAGAGCAAAAATTAATGGCTGTGAAAACAGTCGAGAGAGCAAAAAAAGGCTGAGAGCTCGCGTGGTATGGGACTTCTGCTTATCGTAGATCCCTGAAAATTGGTACGCGAGGAGAACATACCACACTGTCCCCTCCATAAAATATTTGAGTCGAATACAATAAGGGGCCGTCCGGGGTTACCGATTGTTTTTACAAAACGAAAAGTTTTCGTATTTTTCAGCCCCCACCCACCCACCCACCTTTTCTGTAGGTAAAACGAATTCCAATAAAATATTGATGTCAATTTTCGACACCCAGAAGTAACTGGGCATTCTCCATCAGCATTCATAGTCCATCAGCCAGTGGTGCCAAAGTGAGTCCCCTGTTGCACTTACAAATCGAACACCTGGAACTGACATCAATCGACAGCAAAAGCATCACTGAATCCGACCTGCCTACTTTCCCTGGCGAAACTCTTGCACTCCTTTTGCAGTGCGCCTTGGAAGTTCGACAAATTTCTTCTTCTTCATCAGCCATTACGAGGTTTTCCATCCGTTTTATCATGACATCCAATGCGTCTTCAGTGAAAAACGTGGAGTGTTGTCAACGTTTGGTGTGGTTTTCCGTGGCGATCGACCTAAAATCGCGAAATAAATCGCCGTCGATTTGAGCAGAGGTGAGTTGGCTTGGAGCACGTACAGATTCAAAAAATATGTGTACATGCGCACCGGGAAGAAGATGAAGATGCTCACCATTTTCAAATAACTAATTCAAAAAACTACATGACTATTGTACTGCAATTGTTGTAGTTACTTGTTTGCAACCACAATGGTATCAAGTAGATAATGAAGCGAGGTACAGAGGGATTGATGGCTGATCAAAGCCCAAGGGACCAGCCCGAGGGCTTTGATCAGTCATCAAGCCCGACTGTACCTCGCTTGAATATGCTTCAGACGATCCCCAACAATTTTTTTGATTTTGAATTCAATCGCTTTCTTCTTTGGGTGATCTCGAGTGTGGTAGATAGTACTTCGAAGTAGTACAACTGTAACTGTACTACTACCTGGTTGCAACATGTTCAAAGCAGCCTTGCCTTTATTTCAACTGTTTGCTGTCAGCATCCAGATCAGAGCCATGCGTTTGCTAGTTGGTCGTAATGGAGAAGAGAACTGCAGGGCATTCACTCGATGTACAACATCCATCGTCGCAGATTCCTTACTTTTAGCTCTCCACGTTCCTTATTTTTCCAGGGATCAGGACCTTCCCGGGGTGATTCCATTCAGGGTGGAAGCGTAGATCACTTTTGCCAAACAGTAAAAACTACGCTTCAAACCTGCTTGACACGACTCGGGGTGCATACTTCGGAAACCCGAAGGTGGATGATGTTCAATACTAGCTCATTGTAATCTTCCTGAAGGTATGTATTCGGATGCTCAATTAAATAGAACAGTGAAAGAGATGTGTAATGGAACAACACTCTACAAGTAGGCGAACAACAATTTTATTGTAATTTGAATCCAGGCACACGTGTAATACGGAAACTGCAATGGTTTACACTGCAAAATCTTCTCGATTTGCAAGATGTTTCCCGTAATTCACAAAAATCTGAAAGTTCATTCCTGAAACGCGCATGGCACTGATTGGAGATTGGGTTTAGGTCACAACAATGGCTGTCGATGAAATGCCAAAAATGGTCACTTTGTCGGCTTCCCCCTGCAGAGCGTGCAAGTCGTTTACTCTTTTTATTTGCGGATTCGGTGTACATTGAGGCCAAAATCAAGTATTCGATTTCTAAGTGCAACAGGGTGCTTGAATTTGACGACTTCTGAGTTCTTGGCTGATGGACTATCATAATTATTTTCAAAACGAAACTCCGTCAAACCCACCACGGCCACCCACAAACGAAAACATTTCGTTTTGAAAATATTATTGGTAACCTTGGACGGCCCCAAAGGCCTCATTTACACGACAACGATTGAAAAACGTTTTTCAATCGTTTTCGAAAACGTTTTTGCTGTTTACACGAAAACGATAATCGTGTACACTGGAACACTTTTTTCGGCGCGCCATGGTCACGTGCAAAAAGTTGGCCTGGTGCAGGCTGGCGGCGGCATGTTTTGAGTACAAGGCTCGTACTAGAAAAACGTTTTTGCCGTTTACACGAGAACGAAACGGAACGAAAACAATTGAAAAACACTTTGAGGCCGTTTTTCGTTTGAAACGTTTTTGAAACGTTTTTCAGCGTTGTCGTGTAAACGCTCTTATCAAAATCTGTGGAAGCGTATTCTTTTGAAAACGTTTTTGACAAAAACGTTTTTCAATCGTTGTCGTGTAAACGAGGCCTAAGGGGCCGTCCAAGGTTACCAATCATATTTTCAAAACGAAATGTTTTCGTTTGTGGGTGGGTGGGTTTGATGGAGTTTCGTTTGAAAATAATTATTGAATGCTGATGGAGAATGCCCAGTTACTTCTGGGTGTCGAAAATTGACATCAATATTTTATTGGAATTCGTTTTACCTGCAGAAAAGGTGGGTGGGTGGGTGGGGGCTGAAAAAAACTAAAACTTTTCGTTTTGTAAAAACAATCGGTAAGGGCCTGGTCAGACTGCGGCAACTTTTGGTTGCCTGACGAAAAATGAACAGCGTCCAGAATTTGAATCGCGATCACACTACACATGTGGGGAGAATGAAAATTCAAACTTCATTTCGAGCGTCAAGTGGTAATCTCCACGAACGACGTCAAATTCCTTCACCTTGGGATCGCCAACACCTTCAGTGCAATCCTTGCAACCATCCTTATGAGTTTTGTTGTTGTCCGTGGCCAATTAGCTCCTCGATATCGAGATGAAAAAAATCAGTGATTATCAGCGTCAATGGCGTATCAGCGTCAAATCCTGTTTGGAGCGGAAAAGCGTGGCCCGTTCTTGCTTTTTTTTTGGAGCGTCAACTCTCGCTTTTGCCGCTCTGGCGGCAAGTTACTATGGAGATTCGGATTATAATCCTAGGATTATTTCGATTTTGCCGCAGTCTGACCAGGCCCTAACCCCGGACGGCCCCTAACAAGTAACAGAACATGAAATTATGGGCGTACGAACTTAGGATACCATGTACGGACTTCGAGCACCTGGGTCTACCCCTTGGCGCACGGACTGCGAGTGCGAGTACGAGTCGTACTTTCTGTTTTGTCGAGTAGCCATAAAAGTGATAAAACAGAAAAAATCAAAAAGAAAAGGCGGAACAAACTTGCTGCGCGACACGCGAAAGCCATGAAACCAGTACTCGTACAAACCCAAATATGGTATATGGTCCTCATCGGGTACGGTGCACGAGGTGCAACCTGTTCAAGCATCAAAATCCCGCAGAGCTCTAGAGCTGAACTGAAGCAGTGAAGGGACCTTCCAAAACTGGCAACGGCTTTGTTGGTGTTTTTCGTCTTTTATGCAGTCTTCTCCCTTTTCTACTCCACAGCAGATTATTAATTTTAGAACTGTTATTGTTCATGAGTAGCATAAGTGGCAGCTTCCGGGACCGTAGCACTGTGAGCCATTGTCACTTTGTGTGGCATCAGTCGCTTTCTATTTTGGTGAGGAGTGCAGTGTCCCAGGAAATCTCTGGCTTTGGGGGAATCGATACTATCGGAGGGCCTTGTGCAGCACTATGCTCAGGGTACATATGTAGCTTGTTGAAAAATTAATATCTGCTTGTACAGTGGCCTCCTCTTGGTAGTGTGCGCGGAAGAGCACATGTACCCGCAGCTGGGCCAACAACTGTCCGCATTGGCCACTGTGCAATGAAGGTCTCGTCACTCCTCCATATCTGTTTGTTAGCTGGACTTTTCATATTCGCCTCAGGCAAAAATGTCGTCCAAACCTACACTGTGAAAGTTGGTAGCAACATTACTCTGGTATGCAAAGATCAGATGCGTAATGTTTGGATGAGATGGGACACGGACACGACACTAACAACACCAGCAATCCCAGGAACCCTTGGCAGCACGTACACAATAAGGAATGCATCGCTATCAGATGGTGGTTGTTACCTCTGCTCCAGCAAGAACAGGAACAAGTTCTTCGTTTCTCTTCAAGTACTAGCAAGAGGTAAATAATTATTGCTGTGTCATTGCCATTGTGCTTATCTGTGCTCCACGTGCAATTAGTGTACATGTGCTTGCATCCTAACACAACTGCACTAGCACAGTAAAGAGATGGTAGCAATATGTGTGTGTGTGTGTGTGTGTGTGTGTGTGTGTGTGTGTGTGTGTGTGTGTGTGTGTGTGTGTGTGTGTGTGTGTGTGTGTCCCATATGGTGCAGTGGTATGTGCAGCGATTTCCAATCGATAGGTGGCGGGTTCGATTCCCGACGATTATGGTCACACACGTCTTTCTTCTCTTTCATTCTCCTGGGTCGTTACCAACAGCCAGTGCATGCCGGAGTATGTGGTGTGATGTGTGTGCTGGAAAAAAATTAAAAAAGACCAAAAAGTAGGGATTCACTGGCCAGAAAAAGCCACTTCATTTGCTGGGTGGTGTAGACCAGGCTGAATAGTGGCGGCCAATTCTTCAGCCTTGCAAGCTGTTGAATGGTGCAATCCCAGCACAAGCTGCTATGGCTTCTGCTGTAGCATCGCTATCATCGCCTCCGGTGATGGGCGTCCAATGGTCCAATGGTGTGTGTGTGTGTGTGTGTGTGTGTGTGTGTGTGTGTGTGTGTGTGTGTGTGTGTGCTTCGACGCAAAGAAAAAGAATCGGCGTCCGAACTCCAAATGAAACCTAACATTATCACTCTTGTCAGCACCGTTGCCGCTTGACAAGAGTTTGTTTTCGGAAGCAAACACTAGCTTTGAAGCGAGTGACGCCTTCTGGATGAAAATTGAAGAGTTTCCAACGAATTGCTCAGGGTACGCGACTTGAACAATGCAGCGGTTGACAACGGTCCAGCCGCCGCCAACTATAGTTACGGAAACGTTTTGCCACTAGAGTTTCTAAACTAAAACATGTCAGTGTCGAAACGTTAAGGCCGATTCATACTTCATTTCGCGTACGGGAAACCAGACCCTGTGATTTGAAAATACTGTAGAGGCAGAAAATTTCGTCCAAATCCTAAGAAAGGGAGTTCGTCCGGTTGAAAATTTCGTCCATGGATCATAATAGTGTATAGAAAAGCTGGACAAATCGACATTGGTTCGGCAACTAATTTAGTCCAAAAGTTCCTTGGACGAAAAAGACGAAATTAAATTCCAGACAAATATTTCTGCTTATACAGTAGGTGGCGAGTGATCTATCGCTCTCCTCGCCTGTGTCAGGCGAGCTGTAGGAGAGTGATCCAAAAATTCTCACTCCAACAACACAGCACATTATTGATACTTCCTCCGCCCAGGCAAATTTTTCGCTTACCTCCCTCAGCCCAATGACAGGTGTCTGACAGCTATTTTTACATCTTGTGCACTTCACCATCACTCAAATCTGCTGGTTCGGGCGTATCAGTTCCAAACAAGTCGGCAAAGTCGGCAAAGAGAAAAGAAACACCTAGAGTAGAGCGCGTTGAAGGTGAGTGAACTGGTAAAAAAGAAACACGAAGTCAATCACTGGTGGGTGGTAGGTGCTGCTGAGTACCACTGGAGTAGAGCGCCAGAGGTGTCCTGTTGCGAAAAGCCAGCGTGTTTTATTGCATCCGGCACAAGATGTGTGTACGGTAAAAACGCATGTGAGCTTGATGCTGAGAAAGCCACTCAGCGACGCTCGTCCTCATACTTCAAAAATGAACCAGAACCACCATGCAAATCACGGGGAAAGAAAGGCTTCGATGACAGGGTTGTCACTCACCCAGCTCATTCGCCTGATGTCAACGTGAAGGATCCAGCAAAGCAACGCTAAGCTTGTCCGCTTCCCGCTGGTAAGAAATACGACCGATCGTACTCATGAAGGAGGTGAAGCGCTTGGGAAAGTGTCGATACGAAATATGTGCGCTTCTGGAAAGTGCGAAGTACTACCCGACAACAAGTGCTGCATCGGCTGATGACAAAGGACAACTTCTACATTTTTCAACCTGGATAGTTTCTCTTGATGTTGAACGACTCCTCAACTCATTCTGAGTCGTTATAAGCCATTCTGAGAACCTTGAATGTATCAGTAAAAAGTGTAAAGATAAGCGAAAATTTTGCTTGGGCGGAGGAAGTATTAGTTTTTTCGAGAAAAAATTCTGGATGCATCAGTGACTAGTGCAACTCACCTCGAAATGAATCGTCGATGGCTGTCTTCAAATTGTTCGCAGTCGCATCGCCGTGATCGTCTACATTCATCAGGGCTAGGGTGAAGAAAACCGGCTCGCATTCCTTTACAACACGAACAAGCATGAGTTCCTTCTCGCTTCTGGTTTTGCGGGCCTGCGATCCATCGCTCAACACAGAAAATGCAGTTGATGAAGAGATGATACTTGCGATCTTCTTCTGCATAGTGGCAGACAACAAACGGACGAATTCTCTTGCTTTATGCGATGAGTCACAGCCCTTGATGAGCTTCACCCCGTTTGCTTTCTGAATTTCTACCACGGGCACAGTTCCTGCGCACGGATCGATGAGTGCACTTGACACCATAGACTCAAAGTAGAGTTGCGCTGCACTCCGAAAAGCTTACATGCGCATGCATGCAAGCCAAAAATAGTTTCAGGCGCACGACAAAAAGTGCACCAAAGAAAATAAGGCGCGCAAGAGCGATCGCTCGCCTCAAATCACAGGGTCTGGGAAACGCGTCGCGTTGTGAAAAAGTTGATGTGAGCTCAACTATTTCGTGTACGGGAAAGCCATCGCGCGACGGTCGTGCGATGACTTTCCCGTACACGAAATGAAGTATGAATCGGCCTTTACGCTTGACAAATAGAACTCCATGCAACAAATCCAACCCGATTGAGTCAACTCGAAACAAAGGACTGAAATGTCTGGCCGGCCAGAGCCAGGAGCAGGAAGGAAAGCCGTGGCATTGTGCCTGGCAAAACGCGAAGTGCGAGCACGTACATGCGTAGGATGCCTGTCCCCGGGGAAAATCGCGGGAAAAAATCGCAAAAAAACGCGGGGAAAAACGCGGCATAATATGGCATAATTTGAGGTGAATTTGCGGGAAATATGCGGTGAATATTATTGATATGTGGCAAGTTTGCAGTTGATATGAGGCAATTTTCAGTGAGTATGTAGTGAAATCAATCAGTTACAAGTCTCTGGTGTAAGCACTCGTCATATTTGAGTACAAAGCCGCCACGATGAGACGTTGCTGACCAAACAGTGCACTGTGTGTACGTGTAGTGCAACAAAAAAGTTCCAAAAACGCGAGAAAATCGCGGAAAACGCGGTCTTTTAAACAATCGCAAAAAACGCGGCCGCGTAATCGCGATTTTCCCCGGGGACAGGGATGCGCATATGCATGAATGTATGCAAAAAGAATAGGTCGGCGCTCAAAACATCGGTCGGTCGGGTTACCCAAAAACGGCCTAATACAACAGACTGTTGCAATCTCCCACAAGGTTGTTCCTTGGGTGCAAAAGATCATAATAATTATATTTCTACAACATGCCAGGTGTAATACATTGTGTCTTTCTGCTTGAAAAATGTGGGATTTGATCTTGTTCCTTCATGGATAATAATTATACTCTCATACCATGAGTACATAAAACCCAATGTGGGCAGCTATTGACTTTTCCTACATGGAAGTTTGTCACGGCGAAATTCCCGGATTAGATACTCTAATTTCAGAAATTTTAGGTGCTCAATATTTTCGGTATGAGGGCAAAAGGCCACGCTAGGTGAACAGAAGTGTTAGATACAGAGAAGCAGTTCCTATTGGATTATGTGTTTGTTCGGTGTATTGAAATTTTAGGTATGACACAGACGCACCAAAAGTACCGAAAATAAAAGTACACCGAAAATTTGTGAAATTACAGTAATAGTTCTAAAACAATAAAGTGCGAACGGTGAGGAGAAGAGGATGAGAGATTGTTAGATAATAGTTGGTGCAGATATGAGGTGAGCGGTGGCGTCATGCGCACCTGAGCTGCAGGTGTGCAGGGGGGGGGGGAGAGAGACTTGCTTGAATCCTGCTTGTACACACTGCATCACACGGTAATTGTGATCTAGGAATTGAGCCGTGAGTCGGTGACAACAACCTATTCCAGCTGCACACTCCGGGTTTCCTGTACTCTTGCTCATACTGAGGGTGTGGGTCAGCAGAGACTTACACCAGGGGTCTAACCAGGTATGTGTATACTAATGGATTATAAAGGCAGACTACTAGATTATGTTGTAACCAGGTATGTCATCAGTTGCATAGGCCCCGTTTCGCCTTGGAATGTCAGATTTTGTATTTTACGAACGCGGTCAATGTACTAACTCGAGGTGCTTTGTCGTACATGCCCGTGGGAATGTACATCTGTGAACATTAAACATTGGGAAGATTAGTAAAAAGAGCCGGGGGGGGGGGGGGATAACCGTCATGGAAGCCACGACAAGCGAATGCACAACTGCACGGTATTAGTATGACTGGCGGTATCTGTCCTGACCGTGCATTGCTGTCGAAAGTGGCGTGTCCGGTGGATTAGGATTTCCCGAATTCCTGCGCGGAGTCGCACTCTCTGCTTTGTGGCTCTTTGTGACTGTATTCTAGTTTGGCAGGTTCCCTCCCTGAGCTACCACCAATTGCCCTGTTCATGTGACGGTGGACACATGCTGGAGACTCTGGGCCTGGTTACAGTGGATATCTCCTTCCTTAAGAATTTTTCATTTTGTATCAAGCAGTAGGGAGCTAATGAGTACTTCTAAATTGATATAAAGCTTCGGTTGTGCAATTCTGTGCCAAGGCGGCAGCTTCCAACCTTTTGTATGGCACTTGTTTATTCTGCTGCAGCATCTGGCACAAGTTCGACAGCTTCACTGTGCCAGTTCCCGGCCACGACAACAAGCTCACCAGCGGTGTCCACAACAGCAAGTGTAGTATCAACGCTGCTGACTGTAGTAACAACATCCGCCAGCAGCACAGGCACGAATACACCAACCCAGCCCTCCACATCCAGTCCATCAGTCGGTTCTGGCCACGGCACAGACACGGATGCACCGACCCAGTCGTCCACGGGCGGTCCATCAGATAAATCTGGCAAACTAGGAGCGGTGATGACGACTGCAGCGACCGAAACCATGGACCGAGGCTCAGTGACAAATGCCTCCACTACGACACTGGCACATAATAGAAGTGTGTCGGCCCCACCAGTGTCAACTAGTGCACTTATGCCGGCCAATACCAGCACATTGACTAGTGTTACTGCTGCTGTCTCCAGTAGCGTCACCGTCATGCCCTCGCCAAGGAACACAGACCAAGGAACGGGGCCTACTACTCTGATCAGCAAAACCCTGGTCGTGTACATTGCTGCAGGAGGCGGTGCGCTGGTCATGCTGCTTGTGACCATTGTTGTCATTTGCAAGTGTACCAGGAAACCGGGAAGCAGGAAACGTGAGTACCGTATTCCCATGATGGCTTGTCCGTATGCATACCAGGGGAGCCAGTAGGGAGTTGTATGACTGGGGGTGAGGGCTGCTCCACGGCAAAAGAATGGGGGGAGGCGCATTTTAGAGCTCAGGACGAAAAGTGGTACGACCATGGTCGTATCACGTGTAGCGCCCCGTTGTGTTGGAGGTTGAGAGGACCTTTGCTTGAATTCGACACAAAGGCTTCTTTTCATTTAAAGAAGACCGTACGTTTGTCCTACAAAAAACGTAGTCCATGACGTACTTTGGCAGTACCTTGCTGATGCTAAACAGCTGCAATATTCCTGCTACCAAGAGTCCATAAACAAGAGTATGCAACTGTGATCTCTTTTCTATGGGCCAGATGCGCGGCGCGCTGCCTTCATCACATCATTCAGCTGCAGTCCGCGCACTGCGGAAAATCAAACACCGCACTTTCCCTCTGGTTTGAAATGAACTTTCGTACGGAGCTGGAGTTCACGCGCCAGAATTAATTCAGAGATCGCATAGGTACTGGAACGAAATGAGCAAAAACGGATGGGCTCGTATGAGAAATTGTGAGTTTGAATGCATGCTTTCAGAGCGTGATGAAGGCAAGTTACGTAATGAAGACACTGGGCCATAACCACAGTTGCATACTCTTGTTTATGCACCCTTGTTGCTACATGTAGTTTGTGAATACACAGGACTCAACTGCAAAGTGAACAGCCCGCACCCGCGTGTTTATTTTATTTTACCATCAAAAAGGCAAAACTAAAGGGGGTTTGTCAACTGACAACTGCTCTATTTAGTTGCTATTCACTCTTTAGATGAAAATTCTTTTTAATATTAATGATGTCGAAAAAATTATTAACGTTTCGGGCCAGTCACCCATCGTCAGAACAATGTACAAGGAGCGAACCTGGCCTTTTATAACGAAAGCAAGCGAGAGCATACCGGTATGTCCATGTACAAAACAAATGAAACACACAATAGCCGTATGCAATTGAGTGTCTGAATTTGCATGTACAACCGACAAGGAGAAGTGCGCTGAAAGAGTGGGTATGCAGCAGCTCAGCAGATAAAGCGCAGGAAATGTGCGTACGAAGGTGTATACCACGATCATTGTGTGTACAACCCTGTACAGACACAGCAAGATTTGGCAGTTTCACTGTGAGGGTGCTAGCGCCTTCAATGGCCATCCGCAGGATATACAGTCAGACCCCGCTTGTCCGGTCCTCTTTTATCCGGATCCATCGCCATCCGGAAGAAAATTGTTGGCTACCGATTTACAGCATTTGCCATGCATACACACAGTATGTGTGTTCGATTATCCGGTTCCCTCGCCTATCCGGATATTTTTGTGGAAAACGGATGTGTGCGGTTATGCGAGGTCTGACTGTATTGATCTCTGGACGACGCTCTCGAATCTCGATGGACTCCCCAATTTTTCTTCTGTTCATCCGTGTTTCCACGGCCAGTACTTGGGCCTCAATGAAAATCACATCTGTGCTCTTGATGGTTCTGTGCTGCTGGTGATCAGTAGCCATGTGTCTACCCCACGGTTTGTCGAGCATCCTGTGACGTGCTTCGTAGTGATGTTCCTCGAACCGGTCTCTTGCGACCCTGAGGGTCTCACCGACATACCGCTTCCGACACAGTGCACACTTCATCATATAGATAATGCCGGGGAATCACACATGCAGTTCGGCAAACCAGAGGAGCATGAGATGCAGGGGTTAGCGGTCTTCCTCGCCTCTGCTGTTCTCGGCGCCTCACTCGTTCTTGTGTCACGCTGCACTTCGATGGATTCAGCGCTTACTTCACGAGGGCATCTTTGAGGTTGAGAGTGTGTTCAGCAGACCCTGTGATTTGAGGCGAGCGATCGCTCTCGCGCGCCATCGCGCGCCTTATTTTCTTGGAAGGTGCACTTTTTGTCGCGCGCCTGAAACTATTTTTGGCTGCATGTACGCTTTTCGGAGTGCAGCGCAACTACTACTGTACTATGACTAGTACGAGTGTATGGTGTCAAGTGCACTCATCGATCCGTGCGCAGGCCAGAACTGTGCCCGCTCGCGCTGTTATGAAACAGACTAGACAGTGAGTTAGTCATGTGTAGTGACATGCACAGTACTGAGTAGGCAAGTTCACTGCACGTACACTGTGAGTGTGACACAGGCACTGCACTGGCGCGCCCAGCTAGCCTTGCATGACCTCGGGGCATTTCACACGTCTGGATGAATGATTGCGGCTTGAACTAGTCAGAGCTGTGCCGCGTAGATCTACCACCACTCATGAAACACTCCAGTTCAACGGGTTTTACGGACCCCTGCATGCAGCGCAGGGGTCCGTACAACCCTCTGAACTAGCGCCTGGCGGGTCCGAGTAGCAAGATAGACCGCAGTCTGACATAGACTAGTAGTTCTGGTAGTTCTGCTAGTGCATGCGTTGCAAGTAAATGCACCCAAATGGCGCTTTCGTCCTCTTACTCTTAGAATAAAAGGCCAATTGGTCAACTGGAGTTGATCATACCAGTTGTTTTCTTTCCTTGCGACATGATCCCTTGCTGGTGATCTCCTGCTGCTGCTAGCAGTAGAAATGTCGGTAATCATGCAGTTTAGGGTCCCAAATTATTTCGCACTTTCCCAGTGTTCAGTGTGCTGTCACACGCGTTTTCAGTGTACTTTCACATCATGAACTTTATTTTCATGAAAACCGAGGACAGATCAGACTGGGTTCTGCTGGTGAACACTGCGGAGCAGGGAGCCGAACGTGTTGTCTTCCGCGCGAACTCTCTGTCTCCACACGAACTCGCAGAGGTACGTCGGGAACAACTCTCGCGAGGTGCCGAAGTTGCGCTTCAGCTGGCGCTTGGCCCGCATCCAGATGTTTTCCACGTTGTTGGTGTGGATCGTTCGGTCGTCCGGATCAACAAAGTTGTCGTGGACGACGACATCGTGCTGGTATACGCCACCGTCGATGTTCCTGATCTGCGCGTATGCGGCCCAGGCGTCAGGGATGATGCGTGAGCCAGGCAGAATCCACAGGAAACAAAACTTTGACAAAGGAAACAAAACTTTCACACCAGAAAAGAAGAAGCATAGTGAAAGTACACTGAAAACGCGTGTGACAGTACACTGAACACTGGGAAAGTGCGAAATAATTTGGGACCCTAAACTGCATGATTACCGAAATGTCGAAAGGGAACAGTGTGCAGTTGTCCACTTTCCTCAGCTGGAAAGTAGATGAGGACATAGGCTTCAACTCGGTGAAGAAGGAAGGTAAAGAGCTGGTCGTGAAAGTGTGGTGCAAGTCGTGTGCGAAGTATTCTGACGTTATCCGGAGCGACTCTATGGCTGAGAGGTCAAGCGAAGGTCGATGCGTTGAGGTTTGTGGAGGGATCGGACTACGTGACGAAGCACGCTGTCACTCGACATTTGTCTGGACAGGTAAGTGGTCAATTCAATGTCGAAAGTAAAGTCGATCGGACTCGCGACCATTCTCCTTGTTTTCTTCGCTTGTTGTCATGTAGGCGCATAGCATCGGAGTGAGCCATGCGAAGCTATTGGGTGACACCGACAAATCATCGTCGACGTCTGCATCAGGGAGCAAGGCAACACAAGCGACTCAGCAGCCACGCATCCACACAGCTATTCTAGTCCAAGCGGAGGACGCATACGAAAAGCTCTTCCACACTGCATATTTAATGGCAGTTCACGGCCAACCGCTGTCATCTTTCAAGACAATGGTGGAAATTCAGAAAGCATCCAGAATTTTGATATCAATAATGTGCTGTGTTGTTGGAGTGAGAATTTTTGGATCACTCTCCTACAGCTCGCCTGACACAGGCGAGGAGAGCGATAGATCACTCGCCACCTATTTTCAAATCACAGGGTCTGGTTCAGACACAACATTGACCGGGAACCCCGAGCGCTCGACTAAATGCTTCGCCTTCCGCTGAATGTCTTCTGAGCGAAAGGGTAGCTTCAGTATAGCGGCATCTTTTTTCATATATGGCTTACCGTAGTGCCGCGCATATACGCCCATGGGCCTATATCCGGATATAAGCCCACCTCAGTTTATAGGCCCATGGGCTAATAAACAGACCCAAACACCATTACAGAACCGATAGTACAGCATGTCAGTGCAGACTACATAACCAGTCCCAGTACCTAGGGTAGGCGGAAAACCGCGCACTGACTTGTACTTTTTCGCGTGCCAGCTGCCTTCAAAATTCGAATATAGGCCCAGGGCTAAAAAACGAACCATTATTACTGATTTTTTTCCCGGAAAATGCATTATTTCGTATATTAGCCCATGGGCTTATATGCGCGGAACTACGGTACGTCGTTGGGCGGTGTGGCAACTTTTCTGAGCAAGCTCTTCGATCATTGCCTCGGGATAGTTGTTGCTTCGCAGCCATTTCTGCGTCATACCGAGACTCTCACAGGCTTGTGCCGGTGAGGACGAATTCTTTCGAGCTCTGACGAAGTCGCAAGAGACCGGTTCGAGGAACACCACTATGAAGCATATCACAGGATGCTCGACAAACCATGGGGTAAACACATGGCTACTGATCACCAGCAGCAAGGAGCCATCAAGAGCACAGATGTGATTTTCATTGAGGCCCAAGTACTGGCTGTGGAAACACGGATGAACAGAAGAAAAATTAGGGAGTCCATCGAGATTTGAGAGCGTCGTCGGGAGATCAATATCTCCTTCAGATGGCCATTGAAGGCGCTAGCACCCTCGCAGTGAAACTGCCAAGTCTTGCTGTGTCTGTACAGGGTTGTACACACAATGATCGTGGTACACACCTTCGTAAGCACATTTCCTGCGCTTTATCTGCTGAGCTGTTTCATACCCACTCTTTCAGCGCACTTCTCCTTGTCGATTGTACATGCAAATTCAGACACTCAATCGCATACGCCTATTGTGTGTTTCATTTGTTTTGTACATGGATATACATACGCTCTCGCTTGCTTTCGTTATAAAAGGCCAGGTTCGCTCCTTGTACATTGTTCTGACGATGGGTGACTGGCCCGAAACGTCAATAATTTTTCGACATTAATTTAGTATTAAAAAGAATTTTCATCTATTAAAAGAGTGAATAGCAACTAAATAGAGCGGTTGTCAGTTGACAAACCCCGTTTTGTTTACATTGCAGTTGCGTGATGTCCACCACTTTTTGAAAAAGGCAAAAGCCAATACAAAGCAGGGGGCGTTGGCCAGCCATGGCAAGAATACTGAAATCAACAAATTTTGGCCAGTGAGAAACTTTGGCCCATCTGGAAATGAAATCTTTGGAGGTTATAGGCCATTCACACGACGTGCAAACACGTGCACGCGTGTGACCAAGATAACACTTTCAAACCGTGATCCAGTTCACACGGTGCTGGGCAAACTTTGCAACCGTCAATGTATCCATAGTGACTTTTCCTGAAAATGCCGGGAAATTAAATTTTGAATTTTCCTTTGTCCAAGCACTGCATTTGCAGTACACACTTTCAACAACCGACACTTTTCCTTGCGTGAAAAGATAATCGCAAGCAAAAGGGCCTCAGCCAAGATAAACAATCAATTGCATGCGTGAGTCCAAGTTTATTGTATCCGAGTAAATATCCTTGGAAACAGTACGATAAAAGTGAGTTTGCACATCGTGTGAATGGCCTATTATCAAACTTTGGTCGATTGGGGTTTTCAAAAAGAGATCGATGTTGGATCTTGCGCTTTTCACGCCGACTTTAGGGTGCATTCTCGGAGAAATTTCTCCTCGAAGTCTAAGAAACTGGAATAACTTAGGAACGGGTCAAAGCAGCAGTGATCTTGAGTGACAGAAATGGAGTACGCACTGTGCATATAAACGTACGCACTGTGCATATAAACCCGTACTACTGTCTACAGCTATAGCAAAAAAGCGCTTATGATCCACTGCAGTAGTTCGCATGCGCTGACCCAAAAACCCAAAACCCATTTTTGATGTCGTCTTTGTCTGCCAAATTTGTGTCCATTTGTAATATGCTCAGGCGTAGCCATTACGCCTTCACCTGCAGCCCGAAAGCCAGCAGCTGTACTGCGCCAAGCAGGCTCAGAGTTTTCACCCAGCACGTCCACACGTAATCAGACCATGTCTGCAGAAGACTCGCCTATAAGCAATGCCTACATGGACCAGTCGATCCTGAAGCTTCAGTTCGACGGCGGCAACAGCATGCAAGCGCAGTCGCTTTCCGTCGATAGCGTCGGATTGGGCCCGTTGATGCGCACCGAGCGTACAAACACAATCGGCTCTGTGTACGCCACAACGGAACTGCTGCACAAGGATGAGACACTGTCCATGGACAATGCCAGCATGCTAATGGCCGACGACTCGTCCTACATCTACAACAATGACGACGAGAATGTGTACCACGCAATGGACACTACCAGCCTGCATCGTCGCCATAATACAATGGATACTGCCAGCTTGCATCGTCCTCATACTACCGACGACGAGAATGTGTATCATGCAATGGATACCACCAGCTTGCATCGTCACCATAATGCAATGGACACCACCAGCTTGCATCGTCACCATACTACCGACGACGAGAATGTGTATCACGCAATGGATACCGCCAGCTTGCATCGTCACCATACTACCGACGACGAGAATGTGTATCACGCAATGGATACTACCAGCGTGCACCGTCACCAAAATACCGCCGGGCTAGAGAGGAACACACCATCATCATCTGCACTGTCAACAGCCACATTTTGCCACGTACCTACAACTACACAACATCATCAGCAGCAGAAGCAGCACGCTGACACCAGAAGCCAGACGGGTTCCGAGTACGAGCCTTTGGAGACGACATATGCTGTGTTGCTAAGCAGTGACCCATGTTACGAGTTATTGCCCGGCCACCGGTCTCAGAATCAATCTTCCACCCGGCGTCCACGTTCGAAATCGCATGCTGGGCACATTGTGGCCAACAATTCAAAATACGTCGCATACAACAAGAACTCGAGTAAGCCGGCTTCAAGGGCTAGCCTTGCGATGGACCTTATGGTTCCCAATAGTCCATCGGCAGTCCCGCTGCAGGCGCCCGAAGTACCACCACATAATGACGTTAGCAGCTTTATGCCGCGACGATGTTCGCGGGCTAGTGGATCGAGCCTGATGGATTTGCAAGAAGAATCCATGCACCAGTCTAGTGACACGGGTGTACGACCTAGCCGCAACAGCAAAACCAGTGTTCACCAGTCTAGTGACACGGGTGCACGACCTAGCCGCAACAGCAAAGCCAGTGTTCTAGACATGCTGCCCACAGTTCTCTAACAACTCAAATCCTGTCTTTCATGGAGAATAATATCTCTGCTTTGCTGTCTCGTAACTCACGGCCCTGTATTTTTTTCTCCCTCATTCGCTCTTTTTCCCCAAATTTGAATACCGGTATTATGTTGTACACATCTTGAGTCAGTGGCGATTTACTTCGAAATAGCTGAATGTTTTTTAACGCTTTTTTAACGCTTTTTAATGTTTTAACGCTTTTTAACCATTACAATTCATTTATTATTTCATTTTTCCTTCTTCTACATAACTAAGAGGACATCTCAGGCCACTGGCCAAGTCTTTTGTTTTTAGATCTTATTTCTAGCAACTGCCTAACCATAATTATGTGACAGAGAAGAATCATAAGATTCTTACAGTACCCGGAAAGTCGCCATATAAGCACACAAGTACACAAGTACACCGTAGCTGTGTTATTGCAATATTGCTTCTCAGCCGGTCTGATCCTAATGTACACCTCCGTTATACTAAAATTAGTAAATTACAGAACACGTTATAGTCCTTCGAACTGGCAGCCTTGGAAAAGAGACATTGGCTGTGATGGAATCGACCTTGGCTGTGATGGAAGATGGAATCGACCTTATGCCATTTGTACAGATCCACGAAATCCCGTAGAATCCCGTAGACCCGGTAGGGTGTTCATTGTGTGCTATGCATGCGCATTTGACCTTTTTAGCGTCACTATTCAATGACCAGCAATCACTTTTCCAGCTTCTTCACTTTGGTTAGAATTAATGACTAGCTAGATCTTTGTCAGAAAAAGGTTTTCGTATGAAATGCCCTCAGGCCCCATTTCTTAGTGGAAATAACGTTAGCAGAAAACACAATAGGGTACTGCACATTCAACACCCTACCGGGTCTACGGGATTTCATGGATCTGTATAAATGGCAGAAGGTCCATTGTTCTCCTTCTTTCTCCATGCTCTCCCCTTTCTGGGGTGTTTTAACACCATGTGTGAGTGTGCATACATCTTCACAACACTCTTCAAACGGTCTCTGGGCTACACCAATCACTATTTAATATTATATAAAAAGAAAAAGAGATATTAATATTTGAAACTCGGGTATTGAGCCAATAATAAAAGTAGAAAGGAAAAGGACATATGGAAACGAGTTACTCTCCACCACTGTAACTAGATACTATATACAGTCAGAAAGTGCAACAACTAGGCACAAAACTGACAGAGTACTGAGACATTCGACGTCCTTCCAAGTTGGAAGGCTGTCGGTTAGCGCTACGGAGATGTGTTGAAGCTAGGTGTCAGGACGTCGAATGTCTCAGTACTCTGTCAGTTTTGTGCCTAGTTGTTGCACTTTCTGACTGTATATAGTATCTAGTTACAGTGGTGGAGAGTTACTCTTAACTTATTTCCATATGTCCTTTTCCTTTCTACTGATATTAATATTATTCGAATTTTCGGGCAAGGCCCATCTTCAGTCTTCGCATTTTGAGAAATGTGTGAGTGTGGACGTAATTTACAAGCAGGCACAGTTATGTGCCTCACTGCTCTGCACATTGCATGCACGATTCACAGGCACACTTATCAAGGAGTAGAGCCCATTGTGGTGGCTCACTGCTACCGTTGACTGCCCCAACAACAATATCCGCACGTACGTACCGGTGCTCTCGTAGACAACTTCCCGTAAGGCCGTCATCACACTACGTTCTCTGACTCTCATCTACATCTCCGGTGAAAAATCCAAAACGTGTGGTCGTGTCATCAAACGGGCACAGTTCTTGACCCGTCCACACAGTCACATTTTGTATTTTGGGAGAAAT